ATTCAAGCATTAGCTGTATTTCTCTGCTTCCTAGCAGCCCCTTCAAGATTTGCATTACCAGTTTCCCTGTGTGTGTTGCTGAAGAAATACCAAGCAGGATAACCACCAAGCTGCCCCTAGCCCCAAATCTCACCCCTGCCTTTGCTTCTGTCACAAAGCCAGTGACTGCCAAGCAGCATTCTCCCAGCCACTCACATTTCTTAAAGTCAATAATGTTAATATGCACAAATAGAAATTTAGATCAAGCAGGAGCAATTCAGACTGAGTTTGTTCCCCAAATCTGACAAGTGAATGCGCTAATGAAAAACATCCACACAACCCTGAAAATAGAGAAAGAAAAATGCAATAGTGAGGAGAAAGTCTAACATCAGTCTCTGCTTAGAAAAATATTTCTCTGTTCAGTATCCTCACCCATAAAATCTATTTCAAGACCAGAAAGGACCAAATGCAGATGTAAGTGAAGGTGGTAGCAGAACACACAAGGACTAAATAGAGCAGAATTTCATTCTTGGGCAGGCAAGGCCATAGGTGTAGGTGCACACACCAGCTGCAGGGTGGTCACTGCTGTAGTTAGCACAACAAGGGGACCAGGACGGGCAGACTGCTGTAGCATCAGCACAGTGGCCCCAGCAGCTTGTACAGCCCAGCCTGGGGTCCAGACAGTGCCAGCTGCAGTGCAAGTAACCAAGATCACCAGTGCTGAGCCTGGTGCCTGAGGAAGGGCTTCTTTTTCATGCTGCACCATGAGCACAGAGAACTCAGACACCAATAAAGCAAGGAAAAAAAGTCAACAAATAATTAAATGACTCACAGGAGGAGCTTTATTAGGAAACACCACCAACAAAAACGATTCCTATTTGCTTTTTCCCAGATGGCTGAATTCAAGTTCATGTTGCAGTATTGGGATGAGGTGACTGGTTTGCAGTCTCTGAGGATCACTGCAGAACACATTCTTTTTGCCCTGACCCTTGGTAACATGAGGCAAAACTGAGAATTAACTGTCCCTATTTATGTTCTCATCACTCAACTTCCAGCTGTAGTACCGATGGTTCTTATGTTTATTTTAAAAGAGAAGGAATCACTGGGGTGAGGGGTGGAAAAGGTTTAGTTCAGTCCTGGTCAGCCTTGGGCTGTCTGATCCTCACTGAGATCCAGAGAAACAAGACTCAAGAAACAACATTCAAAGACAGCAAGGAGAGAAGCAGGTGGCTCCAAGACTGGGCTGGGACATCAGCCTCAGCTTGCCCCAGTGCCCCACCTTCTACAGACACCCTCACAGCAGTGCATCCTGCTGCCAGTGGCACAACAACCCTTCAGTGGGAGCCAGGTTTGAAAGTCACAGCCTGAGCATGTTCTTCCAAGTCCTGGCTGGCTGGCACAGGCCAAGCTGTCTCCTGAAATAGAAATGGGACAGTTTGCAGAAAGACTGGGGGTAGCTGGCACTAGAAACAAGAGACAGGTCTATGTGCTCCTCAGAGCCTGACCCAACAGTCTTGTCCTAGAAACACCCCCAGGCATTATAGGAGGACTCCTACTCATCAAGCTTCTTCCCATTTTTCCTACAATGGAAACTATGGCCATATTTAAGTGTCCTCATACCTAATTCATCCCTTTCCCAACCACTGCTTTTCTGCTTGCCACAGCACTGAGAACAACACTGCATTTCTTCAGTCAGGGAGAAATGCAAGCCATCACCTTCAAAACATACTGGCATTGACATGATTTCTGGTTTGCCCTCATTATATGCTGGGAGGACTGGGAAACAAGGTGTTTTGGTGGGTAAAGAAATTCACACACTCTGGCGAACTATAAAATATGTAAGCTCTTCAAATAAACTGTTCTCTGTACTTTGTGTGCAGGTGTCCCACTTCTTTGAAACTGCTGAGGCACTTCCAAAACACAGCTATACTGCAGGGCCAGTTCTGGTACCCAGCTGCAGACAGCAGCAGGTCCACAGGTCAGAACTAAGCAACCACCAGGAGACCCCATGGCAGCCCCAAGGGACAGTGACATGGAATGCCAGGGCAGGAGGTGAAATGGGACTCAAGGGCTGGGATGAAGCCAGGGAATGCTCACAATCACCCTGGCAGGTAACAGCCACCATGATTACAAGGAGCTCAGGCTGCTTGAGAAAGGCACACTGAGATCCACCCATCAGCTGAGACTGGGATGGGGAAAGGCAAAGCAGCCCTGGGCCCTTGAGCACAAAATTCAGGGAGAAGAGCCATTGGGAAAAGAAAGTAGACAGACCTGGAAGTGCAGAGGGATTCACGGGTGGCCTTTTGGGTCAGTAAACCCATTTTGTCCACTTCATGCTCATGAATTTGTGCCTTCCCCAGGCACTGGCCAGCTCATACCCTGCACACGGCTGCTGTTACTGCCAAGCTCAGCTCTGCTGCAGGCAATGGTAAGCTGTACTAGTTTCCATGGAAATCAAAGAGAGAGAAGCTGGTTTCCACCAAAATCACATTCAAAACACAATTTTGTCCCTAATGGATTATTTTGTTATCTATTCTCTCATTCTTGTTTTTTTCCACCATGCAGTACAGATGAAACTGAATTTATTTAAATAACTCATATTTGTAAAGCACAAGTTTCATCAATAAGTCAAGCAGAAGTTGCTATTTCCATTTAGATGTGATGTCTCAAAAAAAGACAAGTGTTCAGTCTTGTCATACCAGTCTCATTTTCAGCACAGAAAAACTCCCTCATTCTAGCCTGGCTTTAATAACTGGTCAGTCACTGGTGAGCTTTAAGCAGCATTTCTCAAACCGATGCAGATCATTCAAAAAAGCAAAAGGTTGTTTACTTCCCTCACATCCCCAGGCTTCCCTTGCCCAGTGGCTCCTTTGAAACATTCTGCAGCAAAGAAACATTTTTTAACACAGCTCTGGACTGTATCACAGCTTTTGCAAAATACCTTACAGAAACAAAGCCCTGGAAATGGGGATGGCTGCTACCTTGCACCCCAGCTGGGAGAGTGATGGAAAGACAATGCCTCCTGTCCACACATGGGCACAGAGTTCTCCACTGGAGAAGCAGAGCCAGAAGCCCAGCATGCTGCAAATATCCTGTTTATTTTCATAGGGCACTGTACTGCTGATATTTTGCTACTATAGCAGCAAAACAAACAAATTGAAAACAAGTTTTGCTTCAGGTAGATCTAAACATCTAATTTCAATATTTGCAGTTCTCCAGGGCTTCTCTGCTTCTGTTTAAAGTTTTCACAAGTCATGATGAAAGAATGAAACTTCAGCACCCTAAAAGGGAGGGATACAGGAGCTCTTCAGCAACTGTCTGAACACTCACCAAGCAGTAGAGACAAAAGAGAAAGGATGCAGGCAGCATGTTAGGATGCTTGCCCGAGGGAAGAGCAGCAGTCAGGTTTCCAGATGCTTCTGAACTTAAACTGTACTTCTAAAATGCTGAAGAAGTCCAGTTAGAGGGCTAGAGATATCCCCTTCCACACACCCTGCAGCCCAATAGCAGATGGTCTTGAGAATTAAGAGACATTCCCATAAGGTCTCTGTATCAAGCAAATACCTTTTAACAAGCTGCAGAAAAAGATGGTCCCTCAGCACCTGTATTTGTCATTGAAGTAGCCTGGAGAATACCTCCATTTCCAAGAAAATAATCTTCTTTTTGAGTTCTCAAATAAAGTATCTGAGTATTTAAAAAAGAACCACCCAACAAACGAGCAACAAATCCAAACAGCACTTGATTTTCCTTTTAAGATAAAACATCTACTGAATTTAACCCAGATGTATGACTGCTGTGGATATGGTGTTTCTAGGTTCTCAGCCTCCAGCAGAGAAATTGCTCCCCTATAATTTTTCCCACACGATGTTCTAGTCCCTTTTGAGGCACCTATTTCTACTCCCAACCCTTCTCTACCTTTTCTATGTGTCAGACAACTGCATGACTGACCCTCTCCTCCTCAGAGGGTAACCCATCCCTCATCCATTTCTCCTTCCCTCTCAACCCCACTAGTCTGGCTCTTCAGAAGATCAAAACCCTATCCTTTTCCTAAGCAGGACTTAAAAAATCTTCCCAGCCATCATGACAGCCTGAGAGCCTCCTGGTTTGTAGGGCACTTTGGTGGTCAGCACTCAGGGTGTGCACGGCAGGGCTCCAGGGACACAGCCCAAATATGTCCTGCTCAAAGAGCAGCACCAAGAGAGAAAACCCCATCTCTTCTCCTTTTTCTTGGTTTCTCACAGCACTCAAACATCAGGCAGCATGGATTAGCAGTGGCTCCTGCCACAGCAGCTGATTCCCAGCATACCTTCACCCTCCTTCCTTAGACAGGTGCTCTGGCACAGCTGCTTTCTGTATGGAGAGACCCAGCTGATTCTAGTTTGAAAAAGCCTCTGCCAGGTGAGCTGGCAGGCTGTTAAAGCCTGATTTTAAACTCAAAGTCTCCAAATTGGCACTGCAGGCTGGGCTTTTTTCTTTTGTTTTCCTCTCTGTCTTTTTTCTTCTCTCTTTTTGTTTGAAATAATGTGAGGTTAAAAAAGCTTACCAGCCTCCCTGGGGAGCCACGATATTTGAAGCTCAGTGATGCACATGCTAGGAGACATCTGGGGGTGGTGATGCTTCTTTGCCCTCAAGCCAGAAGCAGAAGAAAGGTCTTTGGGAGGCTTATATAAAAAATAGGCAGGCTGCTAGCTTAAGGAAAATATCAAGGAGGGAGTAACAGGAAGAATCAATTCCCCACAACCCCAGCTATTTCTTTCAGCATGTAAGTCAGCCCATTAATTGCCAGGAAGGATACTTGTCTCCCTATCCAGCTGAGAAGAACTGTTTCAGTCCTTTTCAACTGGTACATCACTGCCTGCTCCAGCAGTATTGCTCCTGAGGCAATCCACAAACCCATGCAAAGAACTGGAGTATGTATATCCAGGGGACAAACCCAGGGAGAGACAGAGGAGGGGACCAGGAAAGAAAGGATGCTCTTTTCCAGCAGAGGAAGAGAAGGGGAATAAGAACAGGCCGAAACGCTTATTTCAAAATGGATTTTATTCCAGGCATTAAACAGATTCTGGCACATGCTTTTTTTGAAGAAAAAGGAAAACTAATCTGAGTTCCACATAAATTACATCTGGCAAAGTGCAGCTTACAAGTGAGTGGGAAAAATAAACCTTTTGAAACCGATTTCTGTACAACAGTAGATTCAGCTCCTCTTAAATAAACCTCCATTGGTTCACAGCACAGGAAATTACACTTGATGCTCTCATACAGTAACAGCTTTCTTTAAGGGTATTACCAATGCAAATGCTCTCTATTGACAGTCTAGGGGGCTGTTTAAAGTCAACAGGAAAACAAGGGTGAGCAGCTGTTTTTTCTGACTGTTAAAAATAGTTAAGTTTGCTTGAAGAAATCCTAACAGACACCTGTTACAAAACATGGCACTCTGTGGACCTTGGGGGGAAAAGCAGAGATAACATTGTTCTTCTTTCCCTTCAGTCAAGGGAAATTTAGAGTATGCTAATAATGAGTTTGAACAAGATTTTGTTTATTCCAAGAAGAAGTTCAGTTTGCCCACACTTGACAGCAGTCTTTTGTAATGGACCTCCTTTTCAGCAATTGCTAAAATACATTGGAAACCAAAGGATGATGTGTGGGGAGGTCTGTGTTGAGCTAAAGCAATGCTTTAGCTAACAGAAAAAAAGTGACCAGCTGGGAGGTGACCTCAGGTGAACCTGTACAAAACCAGGTAGAATTAAAAAACGAAACTCCAAACTCCACAAGCAATTCGAGTTATTGACACCTAGCATATGTCCACCTTTGCCCTGTCCTCCCCCAGGCCAGGGCACCTGAAGAAGGAGAGTGTCCTATCTTCAGCAGCCCCAGCTTACAGCCCAAGAAGGATGCCAGGTCACAGCCTGCCAGGAGGAAGAGAGGCACAAATCAACACAGCTAGTGTCCATGTCTGCTCCAGGAGCAGTCAGCAACCTCCAGCCTGGGAGCCAAACACACAGTCAAGGGCAGCAGTCATCGTGCTGACAAGAGCCCTTTGAATTAGGGCTGGCCCAGAGCTTGGAGACTGTAAATAAGCAGAGCTTCTGTGGTCTGCAGCAGTCAGGAGCATTGTTTGTAGAGGAGCTGGGTCCTGGTCCCAGAGTGGTTATGAAGAGGGAACTGCAAGAAAGCTGCACACACACAGTGGGAGCAGGGAGGAAGGAGGCAGTACCTGGCAGAGGAGGGAACATGCTGTTAGCTGCAACACAAGTGCTGGAGAGTGAAATGGGGGGAGGTCAGAGGGTCCACTTAGGCTGTGTTTTGATGAAAATATGTAATCCTTTCACACATCACCGTATACAGAGCTTACAAACAGTACCTGCTCAGTGGCTCTTCATCTGTCTTTGCATCAAGCCAGGTAGGTAAGAACTTGACTCTTCCTGTCTCCTACTGCATAATGATGCTATTCTGAAAGGACCATCTCCTGTATATTCTTGTTTAAAAATGCAGTAGCTAATAGGATGGCATCTCTCCCCTCAATGGATCTGTCTGGCCTGCTCTCATTGCATTCTTAGGATATCTTCCTTCCTTCTCTGCCCTCTCCTGACCTCAGTGGTTCTGGCCCAAAGCATCTCTATACAGGAGATGAAAAAGAGAAATCACTGCAGTGTCAGTGCCCTCATTTCCACACAGAAGAGCAGCTGCATCATTCTATAAGGATCAAAAGGAACTCCCTTGTGAGTTCTCACAGTACAGGCAGGTCATTCTTCTGGCTAATCAGTGGTGAGATGGGGATCTGATATCAAAGTGAAGAGAGAGACAGGATAAGAGCTCCTGCCACATGATGGATTTAATTTTTTTAAACCAAGAACAAAAAAACCAGTCTCCAGTTTTCACACTAAGCACATGCAATGTATGAAGAACATTATCTGTTCTTTTGTCAACTGCTTGGGCTAATACCAAGCTAAGAGAAAGAATTAATAAGAGATACAAACATGATCAAAAACAAACAGCTGTTCAGAATCCAAATGAGCAACCTGTTTCTTCTATACCAGATCAGAAAGGATCCAAGCAAGCAATTGCCTAATGAAACGGTCCCACCATCTGGTTCCCCTGTCAGGTTCTTGGAAAGGAGGGTTGGTTCACAGAATCTAGCTCAAGAGGAAAATTTAACAGCTCTAATTAGGAGAATGAAAGGCTGTAGGGACTTCATTTGAATAGGTAAGCATCCCTTGGCAGGTTTGAAAGCCCACACGTGGCTAGAGCTGACTGGTAACTGGGAGCAGGATTGGGACGCTAGCTAGAGACCACCAGTGTCTTTGGCATTTCCAGAACACAAAGGAGCCTCTGGCAGGGCAGGCCTGCACTGTGGCAGCATTTGTGCAGGGGGCAGTTTCAGCTTCACCAGCTAACCTCTCCCCAAAGGGCTCACTGGGAAGAGACAGGGATGCCAAAAGTAGAGCAGCCCCAGCCTTTTTGCCTCATCTTTCTCAAAGAGAGAAGGGAAACCAGCTAGACAGAGGGAGTAGGTGGTTTGCCATGCCAGGCTCTGTTCACAGGGGCTATGCAGAGCTGGAGAGACAAGCATGAGAACTGTGGCCCTGCCCAACCAGCAGCAAGGAGTCTGCTATGACAGAGGGGCTGTCCCCTTCTGTCTCTCACAGTGGGGATCCGAGTGGGCTCCTGCCACAGGCCTGAGCCATGTGCAGCACCTCGGTGTGTGGCTGGCTCCACCAGAACATGGAATCCTGTACCTGCAGGCTTGGGCCACTCTTGGGGACAGGGCTGGCCTTCCATACATGGAAAAGCTGGAAGGAAGACTTCAACAGGGAACAGTCCCTGAAAACAATCCCTGGTTAGGCTGGTAAAACAGATTGTCCCTTTTCAATCTCTCTCCTCAGCACATTTGTCTGTATGGCAGAGGAAGGAATGAGCCCACCAAAAAGAGGTGACAAACGTGTCCCCAGGACCTGCTAGCTCTTTCCCAGCCTCTCCACTGATCACAATGACTCTTCTGGCCAGTCCTCACTGAGAAACATATGCATAAATAATGCAGATGTTAGAGCAAAAAGCCAGGGAAGCCAAAGAGCTACCAATGTTTGTACGAGCATAGCCTAAGCTGCTGGACTGAAGGCTGTGGACTCTGGATGCAGAGAAAGGAAAGGATGGGGAGAGCTGCAAGTACTGGGCTGAGTCCTCCTCCATCTCTACCTGCAGCTGTGCACAGGCATCAGCCTGATAAAGGAGAACTTAAGACAATAGATGGGAAGATTTTGACAACTATCCTGATCCCTCTCACCCCCAGCTTCTTCTCTGAAAAGCTCAAAAACATCAAGTGCTCAGCTGAAGTGGTGGCTTACTGATGGGCACAATGAAAACATTTAGGGTCAGACATACAAAACCATTCCTCCATTCCTGATCCCCCTCTGTTCCCAAAGTCTCATGCACAAAGAAACAAGGAGATCTCTGTGCTACCATCATGTTGCTTGTAGCAGCTCCCACTGTTGGCCAGGTACACCTGCTTGACAGGGGCTGGTCACCACTCTTCCAGTCTGGTTTTCCAGGCAGAGACCGCTGACAAAGTGTTGAATGAAGCTGCCTTTCATCTTCCACTTCTGTGAGAAGACATAGAAAAAACATGATGTTACTTCCATCCCCCTACACAACTGTGACTTCAAGTTGAGGGTAATCTCAAGTAAATTCCAATAACTGGGGAGAATGAAAATCAGGGTATGGACAGCATCTCTAAATCACTGGGTTCCTGTGATATCTGCAGTTAGGTAGGGTTAGGGTTTAGCTGAGTTACAGGGCTGGATACTCAGAAGCATCTAGAAGGCAAAGGACAGCAGTGTCACAGCAGCAAGCCTTGGCTGAATTCAAGAGGCACCTGGACAATGCTCTCAGGCACACGATGTGACTCTTGGGTGTCATGTGAAGAGCCAAGAACTGGATCAGTGATCCAGACAGCTCTCTTCCAAGCCAGCGTGTTCTATGATTGTGTGATTCTATCAACATAAAAATCAGCAAGTAACGGCATTTTCAAAGCATATTATAGCCACAGTTTCCAGGCCATTCTTGGTCCTGTGCACACAGGTGCCTGCCAAAACTTGAAACCCTCCTATGGCTGCTTTCCAATCCATGGAAAGCAAAGCACTGAAATGTCTCCCAACACTGAAAGCAACCTGGCCACAGAAGCAAAAAAAATCACACTTCATACTGTTTGACTGCATCTCTCTCTTATCCATTGTTCCCTCATCTCTTCTTTCATCAGATTCAAAAGGTCCCATATACAACCCTTTCCTGAAGGTCCACTTTGGTTCTGCTACTTATCAGGAAACAAAAATATGTCCTAACCTTGAATTTAAAATTCCACTGGGAAAGGGCTGTACCTTCCACCCTTCTTGGAAGAAAAAAAAAAAAAAAAAGGAACACTATGGCTGATAATGAAGAGAAAGAAGTAGAAACAAGTCTGTGGATTTGGGATCTCCCAGATGAGGCAGCATCGTTCATCTCCAGTGGGGCATAGCAGAGCTCAACAGGTTGAGAAGATTGAGGGGTCCAGGCTCCAGGGATTTTCCCTTCATTCTTTTCAGTCACACAGATGACCCAGTTAGAATTGTGGTCTGGGTGCTCAGATAGTAAAGAGCTTAGGAATATTATGAGGACGTTTTGCCTAACCCATGAGACTGATTAAGAAAAAGAAACAGTTTGACAATACTGATGGACCTCAAGAGTTTTGCAGAAAAGATATGCAAAGGGAATTTAAAAATTTCCTGCAATATCTGGACAATGTCAAAACCTACAAACATTTTAATTCTTGGTTAGCATAGCAAAAGCACTGCCACATACTATATGGTCTAAGATATTCAGTTATGTTCACATATTGCTGGCAGCTGTTGTGTGTCTTGGAGGGCAGGGCAGTTGCAAAGCCCATAGTAATCTGTTGCTCCTGTATCACGTATTCCTTCAGTCTAAATACCAGAGGCAGCATCAATTTGCAGTATTGCTAGCCCTGTTTGACAGGACAACAGTAAAGGAGAGTTTCTTTGTACAGCAGGAAGAAGCTGATTTTAATGGAGAAGGGGGCAGGAGAATGCAGTGATAATGGACAAGAAGATACAATTCACTACAATGTCTTTGCACTACAATATCCTCACCAACTGCTGCAACCCACTGCCTACACTGGTTCCAGAGCCATCTGGCTCCCATCTGGCAGAAGCCTCCCTACCAAGAGCTGAGGAAGAGTTACTATCACAAAGCAGCAGCTTTATGTAATGGTGGAGTGTAAAGGAGGGGGTCTTCTCCCCGGCAAGCTGTGGCCTGTGTCCAGCTGGTGCCACTGCTGCAGCCTCCCCACCAGTGTCTCCCAGTGCCACACACAGTGTCACACACAGTGAAGAGCCTTCTCACCTTCTCCAAAGCACACCTACTTCCCTGCCCTCCATTTCCCCACTACCTCTCTGTGAATTCTCAGTCTCCACGTTCCCCTGTGCACATGCTAGAAGAAGCCTGGCAGCTGCCTCTCCCACACACCCCATAGCTCACCAAAAGACCCTGCTGTAAAAGAACATGCTGCTATGAGATTTGAAATGAAGGACAAGGCCAATTACCAAGAGACACTTGGGGGGTTTTTGTTCTTTCCCCTCACTGTTCAGGGGAAAACTGGCACTACTAGAGGCTTGCTCATGTTATTCCTTCAGGTGAGAGACCTGCCACTGTGGCACCTGTCCATGCTGAGCAGGTACCCACTGTGAGTGATGTCTGTAGGGACAGTCTGCACCAACAGGCTCAGCAGGACACCAGCAATCACTCCCCAGAGCACATCTAGTGCTGCTGACAAAATCAGCTTCTCAGTGAGTCACACCACTGGAAAGCCCAGCATGTCAAGTCACCCCAAATTCCTCTGTTCAAAATAAAGTGGGACAAGTATGGGGAAGGGGGAGGACGAGAGGAGGTGAGAGCTGAAGGTGAGGCTCATCTGGGCTGCAGGGAGTGCCATGTATGTAGCTGTTATAAAACACACTAACAGTAAAAGCCAAAGAAGGGCTCCTCATCTCAAATGCATGGGGTATTTTCAGAATGATGAATTTTACCTGTTCTGATCAGAAACTGTGCTTTTCTGCCCTTCATGAGACACCAGAGCAACTCCCCTGAACCTTTCACAAGGCCTGACTGCAGATCACAGGATTACCAAAGACAGCCCAACATCCTGCCCTGCAGGGACACATCAAACCTCAGACCTTTCAGGAGGATGGGCAGTAAGAATGGATGGGAACTGGAGATAGGAAGCTCATCTCCCACTGTCAGCCACCTCAGAAATGAGCAATTTCGTCCAAACTAGTTACCTGGTGACATAGTTTTGGAGGGATCCAAGGTATAAGCCCCTATAGGAGGGCACAGCTTTTTCCCCAGACCACAAGGGAAGCCTGGACTGGTAGTTCTAAATGATAGCAATAATGACCATCTTTAGCAAAAATAAACAGAGCAGACACTTCCTGCATCCACGTTACAGGGAATCCTCTCTTCTCCTACACCCAGACATCACGACTGGACTGTACTTGGAAGGAAAGCTTTTGGCAGATACAGGCATTGCATAATTGGGGAAATCTTGGCTTGAAAAATCCTCTTTCATCTCCCTTCCTTATGCAGATGGAGATCATACAATTTACTGGTCAAAGTAGGTTTGGAGTGAAAATGGAGGAAGAAAAAAAAGGACCCATTTTTTCTTTGAAATATTGTGTCTTGACCCTCTTCCCCAGTGTCAACCCAAAATTTTCCCTACTTTTTTTGTGACTCTCTCTCTCTCTCTCCCTCTTTATCTATCATTTCAAAGCAGTATTAGGTGGCTGGATAGAAGCATTCTACATGCAATAACTAAGAGAAAAGTTAGAAACAGCCAATCTTCTTCTATCCAATATATACAAGAGCTGAAATTGTTTACACTAGTCTAATTTTTCAGGGTAATCAAAAGTTTTCTTTTAACCCCCAGTAATCCAAGCAGTCTATGGTCTCTCTCAAAATCCTAACTGTGAAACAATGGAATTGGCCAAGCTCAGGAGGCACAGCTGAGAAAGGCAAATTGTGTTAATGAGGACTGAGATGCTTCAAACAAAAACGTATGGAGAGCTGATAACTGGAGTAGCCAAGGATGTTGTAAGTTTTAATTGAGTGTATTTGCAGAGCCATGGGCAGCCTGAAGCTGGTCTTTGACACTAAATTTTAAATATATGAGCAGAGACAGAAGATGGAAAAGCTCACACCTGCATCCAGCAAAGTAATGCCTTCCTTTGAGCATTTAAATTTGTAAAACTAAATCACAACTAAGAGAAACACTTGTCTCCTGGAAACTACTTTCAAGGTACAGCATATTGCCAGTATTGTTCTACCTACTTATTGTCATGAAGATGCCGAGTCAGGTGCTTTCAAAATAGACAGGCTTTCACTCTTTTTCTTCTTGGATACTCTATATAAAGTTGCATTCATCTTCATCAATACACTGAGAAGTGGGAAAAATTTCCCAGTGGCACACAAAGGGACACAGGATTTCAATAGTCTCACAAGAAAACTCAGTGTCCTCATTTTCAGGCTGAGGTCACATTCCTTCAGAACATTTTAATGAAATATAGCTGTTTAATAGGATTTCTCAGCATTTCTTGTTCTGTTGGGAAATACTGTGCCAATGTTTCTCATTTTCATTCTCTTGTTTTAGTGTCTGACTCTCACTTTGCCTTCTATTTGTCCTCACTATAATACAAATTAAAACACCACTCCTACTGTCAGTCAGAGCCAAAAGAAACAAAGCTGAAGGCAATAATTTATTGTGCATTCAACTAAAAATGCTATTCTCCAAATAACATTATGGATAACATCCATCTGGTTTGAAATCTAGTTCTGATTATGCAGAATAGCTTTTGGCTGGTCTTCTGCTAACAGTGCCAGCTGTTGCTGTTGAATGATCAACAGGATCATGTTGCCAAATAGATTTAATTTCTGGTTTCTTTTAACCTAAGGAAGTCTGACAGCACCAAAAATCATCTGAAGTGTGACTATTGTCTCATATCCTCCTGCTTGCAAAATTTTGAGGTAACACTCTAGACACAAATCATAATACTCTAAAGTCTCTGCTAGAGTATTACCTATATGTTAGATGGAATGTTTTTAGCACTCAAAATTAACAACAAAATTATCTGTCCTTGGGCCATGCTTAATGCAGAACAGCTGTGTAGCACGGGCACAGCTTCAGTATTTTTGAAAGCAGAAGCCAACTTTAGGAGCTGAGTGGTGCTGTCATAATGATCTAACCAATCTACCCCCAGGATACTAAAAACCAAAGCTATCACATGTACCATCTTTTGTCAGAAATGTTGCTTTTTCATGACTCAGACACAGACGTGAAATCTAGATCCAGAAAAACCCAAACATTTTTCTCTACAGATCTGTGATGACAGTGACAGGGAAGATGTTCCAAGCTGGACTTTCATTATGCTGCTGTCTCCTTTCAGGATATTGTACATGTGATGTGCTGCCCATGCTCACCCTCCTCCACTCAGACCACACCTTCAGGGCTCTTGCTTGTCATTTCCAGCTCTGCAAAGTAGCTCAGCTCCCCTGACTTTCTGAGAAGCCCAATTGAACTGAGAAGTGGACACACTTATGCACAGTTTGGAAGAACTGCTCTCCCCCAGAACTTGCACTTTGGGCTGTGAGTATCCATGGGGAGACAGGCAAGCTGTAGGGCAACTGAGGAAATTTGTTCCCTCCAGCTTTGCTCTTTCTTGGAAATCAACCTCTCAAATATCAGGAGGAGAATGGAATAGTTTACAAGATGACTGACTTCTAGCTAATTAAAATCTAATGTCAGTGTTAACAACAATTACTCTTGTGTTTATGGAAGGAAAGAACCATAACAACATTCCCTAGGAACACAACAAACTTGAGCATTACAAGTAGAATTGGCTTTATAAGTAGAAATCTGAAATGGGAGTTTGGGACTATAAAAAAGGCCCCAACATTTAAGAGCATTTCAACCCAAATTACATTAAAAATTCAAATGCATTTCTCCCACTTCACCCCACCTTATCCCTTCAGCTGCAAGGCAGTTTGGAACGGCAGCTGCAATTCAAATCAGTCTCTAATTATTTGAAATGCTTAAACAAAATCCTTGCTCAGAGTCAGTTGGTTAAATCATCTACTAGGTCAAGTCCTTGATATAAGTGCAGTTTGCTCACATAAGGTAGTGGAAAACAACAGCTCACACCCTTAAGTGTGTGTATGTCTTTATAATGAGCCTGTATATAATCAACACATCAAGACTCAATAAATCCTATTCCAGCAGCAGAATAAGCCTGCTGTATTACTGTGGATTAATCTCTTCTGGCTTCTGATACAGCTTGGACTCGACCCTCCTTGAGGGACCTTCCGTGACAGAGGCAGCAGGGAAAGACAGCTGATTTTGGCAGCTGCTAAAGTTCTCTCTGCTGCCAGGGAGGAAAATACTGTGAGGCACATAAGGAGAAGCTAAGTGACCTAATTACACAGCAATGGGATGAGTGATTGCCAACAAGAAAAAAGGAGCAGGAAAGCACAGCCCACCTGGGAAACCCTTGCAGATTAATCCAAATTCAGTTTTCCCAGTGAATTCATGTTGACAACTTTTCAGAGCATTTCTGCATTAACCAGCCCTCCAGAGGAAAGTCTACACAAAGTTTACTACAAAGTTTTCCATAAATGGGCAGGACTGGATTTCAGTGCTTTCTTTCATGAAGAACTAATTTCAAGGATTCATATAGCATTAGAAAGTACTGACAAAAGAAGATGCTTCTGAGAACTGGTCAAAGCTGAGCTATCTTCTACCTTTGGGCTATTAAAACAACAGACATGTCACAGAGGCAGCACAGCCTTAGATGACAGAAAATTTGTTCTCTCTTAGTGTAGAGAGAAGCACAGGAACTAGGAATGAAACAATCTGCTGTCTGCCAGTGTTGCATTACTCCCTTTTGTGCTTTGCCCAGTTCTGATAAAGAGTCACATCACATCTCTGTTGAGGGCACCCTAGCCATTGCAGAGGCCATCCCTTACCTAGTGCTGTAAGGAAAATGATCGATTTGTCTTGACAGATCAGGGATGCACATCTTGGAAACAGCATAAGTCAAAGAGCTGCATTTTGTTGGGAACATTGCTGCTGTGTATTTTTCCTCTAGGGAGCAGTTCAGGTGGAACATACAGTGCTTTATGTCAGTCACTATTTCTTAACTGAGTTGCATGCACTCAGCTTTAAAGGTCTGCTCACATGTCCAAAGACAGCACAAAGAAGAACACAGCTCTCTCACTTCAAATTAAATAAACAAATGATAGCACACACCACCCTTCCCTTAGGTAGCTCAAAGCAGTTGCCTCACCTACCTCTCTTTGGTGCTGTGTTTCATCCATACACCAATCTGTCTGCATATAAACTTATCCAAAAAGCAAAGCTGGGGTGCTATTGAGCTGGAGGGAACCGTGCTGCCAAGGGCCCAGGCAGAGCAGACACCCACATACTGCTCTTCCTGCTTGGCCACACGCTCTCTCGTACATCCAAGTTTATGAAAAAACACCAGACAGGGAGATGCAGAAGATGGAAAGGACTTTAATAGTGCTGGGTTTTTCCCTGCTGGCTGCACTGATGTAGGTGCACGGGTATGTGGCAATGAAGGCATTAGAAAGTGGTGCACAGTTACCTACCTGTCTGCTGTCTTTTTGATTGCAAGCTTCCAGTGTGATTTGAGAACCAGTAGAGAAGGAGGTAATGGAAAGACACTTGTCCTGCTGTCTAATTAAAGGGTCACTGAATATCCACTCCTTTGGAATAAGAAAAAGAAAGGTTCCATTAGGATCCCAACAGTGATCAGATGAGGAAGGGAGAGCTTTTTCTATCAGATATTTTAAAAACCTCTATTCTTTTGTTGTCTTGCTATGAAAGGCTCCCTGGGAAGACTACCACAGCAGTTGGCACCTGATCAGAAGTTTATGCTCAGGCTTGGTGCATCATGACCATTTCAAAGCCTGCAGCTAGCTCCCTTCACTATCAGAGTGTCTGATTAACCCTGGATCCCATGCAACTCTCTGCTCTGCAGCTTTACAGATTCAGGCCTACAAAGCAAGGAGGACCCCGTGCCCTGACACACATGATGTGCAACTGCTTCTGCATATTTCACACAGCAGACATGTTCTGCAGCAGGTATCTGGGACCCACAGACTGTCAAGCAAAGCAAAACACATGCAAGCATATCCATATGTATCATCAACATGCATAAGGGATAAGTTGATTCATTTTTTCCTTCCTCTGACTAGACAGATACCTGATCCTATCAAATGTTACTACTATACTGTCCCCATGGAAGAAATACAAAATACAGTAAGTTTCAGAAATTTCAAATTGTAATGACACAGAGCAACGAGGCAGGTGAAATGGCAGACTGAATGCTGGCTGTAAACTAGTTTCCAACAGTTAAGAGACATGAATATGTATTTTCTGGCATAAAATACCCTACTGTGACCCTTAACTTTCTCAAGCTGCTTCCCTGCTGCTTTCATTCACCAACAGAGAGTCTGAGTGTAGATCTTCAGCTTGGATATACCATCACAGCTCCACTGCACTTAGGAGAACTGCACCACATTACTGCCACTGGGGTCAGCTATTTAAACACTATTTGTGCTTTATACTGAAAAACATCTGCCACATCACAATTCAAGTCATCTGCAGCTACAGCTGATCTGGCAGAGCAAGGAATGTTTCTGATGTCAAAAAAATCTCTTACCCACATGCCAGGGTACTAGACTAGCACAGCCCCAAAATGATTCTCAATGAGTCTGTCACTCCCTGAGCATTTTAAGCTGTTGTCTCAGAGTGATGAAAACCTTCACATTCTATGCTTGGCTGCTGAGTCTGTTGAGCCAACAGAGCTCTGAGAGATGGGCTTCTTTTTCTGCTTACTATTAAAATCATTACAGGGTCAAATTCTTTCTTCCTTCACCTCCATACCAACCCACCAATGCCTCTTCATTCAAGTAATAAAAAGGGTAGAAGCAGGAGAAAATTACCAAACTGAAGCCTGCCTTACCTGAGTGAGAGGTGGATTGTTCACCGACCCTTTACAGTTTCCCATGCCAGCCAACATATTCCCTGTGGTATCCTGTGTCTGAGACTCCAGACAGTTTCCTCCTTGTCTAATTATTCCTGGAATCAACTCTTTTTCAGGAATCCTTGAAGCAAAATGACATTTGCATGATACTTCATACACAGAAATCACCAAAGCACTTTAACATTTCTAAGGGCTTAATTGGGCCCTGACTGAAACACAGTTCCCTATATTTGATGGAAAATGAACAATATTATGCTAACCACTAGAAATACGTGGAGGAGGCAAAAATCAAGTGAGAACTTGGTCAGAGGATGGGTACCTTTTCGTTTCAGAAGGCATACCAGTATCTTTAGGGGTACCCTAAGCAGTTTAATGTGATGATTCTGAAATTCTGAAAGAGGCTGTTTCCAGCAAAAAGCCATATCCACACTGATTTGTTCTGTTTCTTCCCCCTTTTTCAGTCTTCTCCCCAGCTAACAAATAATCTTGCCTCATTGGTAGGAATGCAGGAAAGCTCTGTCAAGGCCAGACTACAGCTGGATGTTTCAGCCTCCCTTCCTGCTAGCCACAGACTGAGGTGTAAAGGTGTTGCCAGGGTGTGCTGGTTTGCACATGCCAACAACACAGCCCTACCCAGGCAGCCTCTCAGCTGAGCAAGGACACAACACTACCATGTCCTGACCCAGGGCAGGGGGGCCACAGGGACACCTGGTTCTCTCCTTAGAGCCTTCTCTGAACCACCCAAACCTCTGCACTGAGGCTGTCCAGTTCTACTTGGCTCAACTCCCTCCAGACAGAGCATCCAAGGGGCAGAGACCAAAACTGGGAGGGGTGTAATACTCTGGCACTTGTCTACACCCCACACCTCTGAAAACACCACTGTTGTACATCTCTAAGGGACAGCTGTGTGGGGCAGAACAGAAGGCAGACCTTTTGCAGAGTTGTGATAATACAAGCCATGAAAACACAGCAGGTTTCTCACCAAAAAGAGCAGAGAAAACCTTTTCCAAGCCTAAGTCTCTCTTTTGCCCACTGCTGTCCAGGCTCCTCCTTCCATTGTGACCCACCTCCCAAATCCTTCAGAGATTTCCACAAGGGAAGAGCTGACTCACTTGAGCTCGGGGTAGACATTCTCCAGATACCACTGGAAGGATTTACAGTTCAGTTTGTGCCGCAGCTCCACTCGGTCTGCAACACTGGAAACACAGGCAGTTTGCTGAGAATAAGGCAGTGAACAGGAGGGAGGGGAACAATGAAGATTGGCCAGGAGGTTTGAGGGAAATTATGTGACTTTTTGCCATTACTCATTCTCCCACGTAATTGTTGCTTGGTTCAGAGCACTAACAGTGACCTGAGGTGAAGAGGAGGAGAGAGGCAAGTGGCAGGAAATAGAAATGGAAGACAAACACCTTCAGAGAGCTGTTCTTGCACTTCCTTTGGCTTAGAGCAATGGCAGGGCCCACGTCCTACCTTGTTAAATAATGCATTGCAGTAAAACTGCTGTAAGATCAGGAAAGTGTTTCTGCCTCTGGGTGCCCCTGCAGAGGCATACCATGAAACCTGCACGACAGTCAGCTGCTGAAAAGGCCTAGAAAGTGTTTGTGCTCAGGTACATAGAGATGATTAATCTCTGTGTGCTAAAGCATGACTCTAGCTCATGGCAGCAGGTCTAAGCTCAGGTTGGAGAACTGAGACCTGGAGAACTTAATTATTCGTTCTTAAGCAGTTTGGGGGAAGGGTGGGAGTATAAGGGGAGATTAATTCAACATCTCAGTAGCTGTCTGCTGTAGCAGTCCTCCCACTGCTGATTTGTTTGGCTTTAGCTGGCTGAAGAAGAGGCTTTCCCTCCAGCAGTCCTACTGAGCAGCAAAACCAGGAGCTCTTGTCTTTAAGCTGTAACACTACATTTGTATGTCAGGAATTGCAACTGTACCTGTGTGCCTCTCCATCCTCAGCACACAGAAGCCACTGTACACACACGAGGCCACAAGCCTCAGGGCAATGTTCTTAGATTTTATAGCCACATCAAAATTGAGGGGAAGGAGGGTCCATTTTAGGCTCAATTGTCAGTGATGGTGTCAAAAGCCTTCGCACCCTATAATCTAGATTTAATAAAGGTTCACAGAGCTCTTACTATATGAAATTGCCTGAAATCAATTGCCTATGCTCTGCTCCAGCTCTTATTCAGCCAATGCTGCCAGTAAAGTCACTGGGAAGTCTGTGTGAACAAGAACTGCAGATTTTGCCCCTAAAACACATGAGCCATATATCCACATACAATGTGCAGTAGTCTGCTTTCCTTCACAATCAGCAGGGCTACTTGCTATGTGGTCCCATCCCAGCTGCTGCAGTCAGCTCAAGGACTGATAAATTAGGTAGGCAAAGTGATTTTTATGAAGTATTGTGATGCACCATGATAATAAAGCAAAGTGTACAGCAAGAAAAGTGATGTGGTTGTCATAAGTAAGTAGGAGATGCATTATTACCCTGTGCACGTAGCTATACATTTCAGATACAACCACATTTGCAAAGTCCTTACACTGATACAACAATAGCCTTTTGTTCACAGGCAGAAAAAACCCACAGAAATACAGCACTCCTGGGAGTTTTACATTTATTTGGGAGTCATAGGGGTTTGAGAGCACAGACAGCAAGTTTTCCTCTCATCCCAGGTTTGGTGTCCATCACTGATTTCTAGGTCACAGAGAACTGTTAAGCTGATAACAATGAATCCCATGTGGCCTGAAGACAGGTTTAGCAAAGGTGCTGCAAGAAGCACAATTCTGCAGATTGTGTTTCTAAATCTTAGCATTGGCCATGCTCTCTCCTGCCCTACAAACCAGGCAAACTACCCTCCATCCATCAGGAAAGTGGGGAGTGCACCAAGCCAGCCATGCTTGCCCTGGGATTATCAATCTGCACAGGAACTTCAGATCAAGCTCAAGATACAGCTCACATTTCCACAACAGCTGCATGCTGTGATAAAAAAAAATTCCTGCCTATCCACCTAAAATGTCTGGTCTTTTAATTTCATTACAGATCCCTTTGGCCTTCTGCTAACAAATGATTTATGCAGTGTTACTGGGGTAAAAAATAAAGCGAATTAGAAGCAAACCTCATTAGCCAGACACTCAAGCTACAACCTCCCTGGCAAGCCAGGCATTCAGAGCACCTCTATTTCTCACACTTAACCCCAGAGAAGACCTAAAAACTATTCCTTGCCACCAAGGGGTTGACCAGAGCCCTCCTGCCAAGGCCTGGGGCAGCTTACCTTCCAAAGGACTTGCCAATAGCCGATGGCCGGGCCTCATAGTAGTGCTGCTTGTATTCATCCATCCACACCTCTGCTGTGCGCTTGGTGTTCCTGCAGGGCATGAGCACACGCTGGGCTGCAGAGCCTGCCCAACAGCAAGCAGGCTCTGGGTGGGCAGACACAACAGGAGGTGCTGGGGGACAGTCCCAGACACAAAACCGAGCAGGCAGCATGGATGGATAGAGACTGAACGTGTTAAGTCTACAAAGCCTTGCAAGAACACTTCTAAAGGTAAAAATTTAACAGCCATGGTTTACCAGGACTTTTTCACACATACTTCCTCTGCAGAGACACTGGGTATGATTCTCACCATCACATTCGTTTACAGCATCCCTTTTCCCAGATTAGAATAATGTTATGGGATAATTCAGCTTGGAAAGCAGCCCTGTCTAGCCTCTAACCTTCTGCCCAAATCAGACTAGCTTCATATTAGGTTATGTTGTTCAGGGTCTTGACTGGTTGAGTTTTGAAATCTCCAATGAAGGAGATTTCACCATCCCTCTGGGGCCCTGCAGTAGTGCTTAACCACTTTCACTGTCAAGCACTTTGTCTCATCTCTTTTCTCTGTCCATCTGTCCTGCAGTAGGAGTTGTCCTCAGGGTTTATCTTAGAGCACTTACAGCTCAGAGACACCCAAGGACTGCTGATACCCATGCACATGTCACAGGGCAGCATCTGTGAATGGCCAGGGTCTCTCTGACAACCTGCTCCCCACCCCTCAACCAGAGACACTAATGCAAACAGCAGAGAAAGGAACAGGTTTTGTTCACAGAAAATAGCAACTCATCCCTCCCTCGAGAACAGATGCTCAGCCACAAGCTGTTCTCCATTACCAAGCAAAAGCACAACAAAGAATTCAGACTTATTTAGACATGCCCAACATGGAGGTGGCCTGGCTGCTACCAGGAACTATCCAACACCTACTTGATGTAAGTCAGTGCATTGCCCTCAGGAAAGTCGTAGGGATGGCGCTTCCTGAACACGTGTCCCACTCGGCTGCAGGGAACGATCTCCAAGCTGCCACCACACATCCACACTCGGAAGGAGAGCTCTGGAAGAGACCCCAAGAGTCATACATCTGCAACAGTCCCAAGAAGGGAAATTTTCTTGCCCTCTGCTCTAGGTGTATTGCATGCAACAGCAAAATCAGGGAAAGCAATGCCATGGTGAGAGCAGAGAAATTGTCCTCCCTTTGCTAAAATAGAGGCAACCTTTGCAGCTCTGGGACTTCCAAGCCTTCTCCAATCCTGCTCCTCTTTGGACTCATTTCAGTGAGACACCTTTGCATTCGACCAGGTCTTCAAGGTTGCTCAGGATGGCATTTGGCAACAGACTGAGACCACTCCCACACACACCCCCTGTTTCAGACTTCTGTTACTCTCATCCCTGCACATAGATGGAATTATAAAGCAAGAATTTATTGTGTAAAGCAAATCATGTGAGGAAGAAAGAGTTTAGAAGGGGAAAGAACAGAACAAGATGAAGGTGCAGGGGTCAATGTCTAGAGCTAAGTCCTCTCCCTCATCCTCTATGTTATCCACCCCACAATAGCTCCTTCCTCTAATTTTGGTTGGCTCTATTACTAATGAAATGGAGGAACTGACTGTTTTGCAGTTGTCTCTACTGGAGGAACTCCTCAGAACAGATCCTAGTCTCATATAGTATGACTCTGAAAATACAGAGTCCTGCTACTTGAAGAAATCCACCCTATTCTGAAGCTAAATTCAGCATTTTGTTAAAGGATTAGAAGAGCATGGAGCTTTGATGTGCAGGCACTTATTTGCATCACAGAAGGTATGTGACCTTGCTCAAAGCTTATGTGTCTGTCCTCACAAGTTTAATCACTGCCACACCAGAGGGGTTTTCCACTTTCAATTCATGTGGTGATGAAAAGAGAAGGAAGAAGGAAAACGAAAATTATCTGGGTGGTTGGGTAGTCTTTACCAAAAGGGATTCAGATTGTAGAGACTGATTACCTCAAAAACTTTACTCAGCTGGGATCTCGCTCCAGTAGTGCCTGATTTATGTGGCTCTGATGCTTAGAAATTAAAAAGAAATTATGTATCCAGATCTAATGGATGTTTGAAACCATGTACACACATTAACATCTTCCCAACCTTTCTCCATAGCTTTCCTCTCTGTATACTGAGAGGTAGTTCAAACAGTGAGTTGCAGGGTGGGGGAAGATGGTACATTTAATGTTGCTTCTTAGCAAAAAGCCCATCTGATTACACTGTATTTTGTAGTATTTTTTACTACCTCTTTTCTCTCCTGACTCTTATCCAGAGTTGTTGTTTTTTTTTAAGATTCTTTTTAACAGGGAGTTCTAGATTTGAAGAGAAGAAGGATTTTAGAAACAAACAAATAAAAAAACCACCCAAGACATAAGTTTCTATCTGGTGATGTGTCCAGCTGACATTTGTTCTCCTGGAATGAGCTTCTGACTCACTTTGGCCTACAACAAAAACAAAGCTCTCAATCTGGCATATGTAACTTGAAAGTGATGTCCATTTCCAAAGAGAAGACTTCTCACACCATCTTAGACAGAACCACACTCTCATCTACAAATGAGGACCTAATTCAAACCATCCCTTCCCACTCAAAATGGTAATATTTAGTAAAAATAATGTTTCAGAACATTATCAATATTTTTCCTTGATCAAAAAACCCAGTTTTCAATTAAGTATGGTAAACCGGTTTTTTTAAGAGGTTAAATTAACCATTCTGAATTCTTCAAAGAAAATGAATACTTTCTGTTGTCAAATCCAGATTGATTTCTATCTCTCTGCTTTCAGCAGCAACAGACTTGATGCAGGATGAGGGACAAGTGGCAGGAGACATTGAGTTTACAGAAAAGCCTCCTAACAAGGCAAAACTGGCAAGCCCTGTACTTGTGGCTGAGTCCCACACAGCCTGGCCCAGCCACTGCCAGGCTTTACAAGAGATATTTCAAGGAGAATGAAGCAAAAATGGAGCAATTCTATGGTTCTGATCAACTCTATATGGAAGAATGGTTCTGAGCATGCAAAAAATTTACTGCTGCTTATGGCAGAGAGATCTACTTAGCATCATGCTACTGACATATGGACCAAACTACAACACTGGACTCCCAGATGGGCAGAAGCAGACAGAGAAAAGCCTAAGGAAATAATCTTTCTCCATCTTTGGGGTTTACAGCTTTTACACAGCCACAGCTCAGAGGCTGAGAGAATGGCCAGGTGGCTGGCTTTGCAGATGGAGCAGGGCTGGTGAGGCAAGGAGCTGAGCTGGCTCTGCTCCTGTGGGACATGAGGGAGGGGATCTTCAAGGCTTCCTGTTAATTCTGCCACAGTGCTTAACTGATGTTACTAGGACTGCTGAGATTCCAATGCCAGCACCATTTAATATCTCTTTTTAATATAACAAATACTGTAAAACTGAATCAAGATCTGGGAAAACAGAACACTCATTATTAGATTTTTTTTTTAATGTGGTACCTTGAGAGTCAATTATCAGCCCAAAATATTATTTAATGACTTTAGAAAGCATTTCAGAAAGAAGCAGCTCTCCCAGCTGCATTCAGAGAAACAAGTTTCCTCTTCCTGACTATTTCATTCTTTCTAATTGGTTCTCCAGGTGGTAGGAAACACTACACAAATTTTTCTTTAAAAGGTTTTATTTACAAATCTGTGACATTTATGGAACCTGCAGAAACAAATTTTTTTTGCAGCGTTAGCTACAGAGAAAGCTACTTAAGTTGACTACAAAAAGTAAGGCTTTTATTGCTTTTATTTCCTCAGCTCCATCTGCACCATTTGAAAATGAATGCCCCAAATACTTGAGGTCTCCATGAACCTCTCTTTAACACTCATCTTGCTTTTGTCACCAACACCTGGTAACATTGCACCATCCATTCACATGAGGCAAAGAGAGATGCCTGGAATGTCTATGCCACTATTCAGTGCAAGGAGATGGCTTTAAGCACCATGCCCTAAAACAGCATCTGAGTGGACAGACTACACTGGGCCTCTGAATTCCTCAGATGTTTGTGATGCCCTAGCCTGCTTCTAAAGGTCTGCATTCTGAGTCTATTTGTAACCAAATCCCATTTACACAGAGGTTTGTTTTATTAGGAAAAATATCTCTTGGACCTGCCAAGCTGGGAGAGCAATTCAGACTTATCTGCAAGAGAGGAACAGGTATAAGAAGAGGCTGCAGGAGTGGCTGCCTGCTTCAAAGCTGGGGCAACACAGACTGTCATGTGATGAACTGGAGGAATATTCTCCAAAAACAAGCAAGTTTAAATACCAGGAAGTTCCTCTTTCTTTCTTTCTTGTACTGTGCAAGCTCCTGTATAATACCCATATGCCTGCAGCAGAGTGTAGCCCTGATCACATGTACTTTAATGCTGACAGCAATACAGCTCTGACCACTTTGGGGATTACCTGACCATGTCCCTAACCTTACACTGACATGCTGGCTGGTCAGATCTCTCACAAAAAAAGCTCTGGTAAGCAATGAAGACTGAGGAGCAGTTCTGCATTAGTGTGTCATTCCCTTGAAATATCCTAAACTTACCAAAATTTTCTCCTCCCCAGATGTCCATTTGAGTATCATATTTTCCCAGGTGGTTAAACCAGGACTTGTCAATCACAAAGATGCCTCCTGCTATAACAGGGGTTCTGGAAGAGAAGACAGAAATCCAGAAAAAATAATCACACATATATGTAGCACTACAAACTTAATTTTAAAGGACAGACAATTTGTCCAGATGTCACAAATCATACCTCATTTAAAAAAGAAAAATAGTAGGGGTGGAATGTGAGCCTGCAGCAGGTTTCTGAGATGCCCCCTCACCACATCATCCTCATGCCTTTGTTAAATGGGCTTGCAAGAACTGCAAGAATAATGCTGTGTCTTTTGCATTTATACAAATATGCACAGTGTGAAGGGATGATGGGCACTGTTTGATGACTGTGTTCACCAATTAGACATGGTGTGACAGGCTGCTGCATGTACTTCTCTGCTGTTAGCAAGCTGGTTGCTTCTGGAGTGTGAAACAGAGGCTCACAAATTACACAGAGGAATTAAATTATAATTTTATATTACAAATAGGGAGCTGTCTGCCTAAACAGACAAGCACCATAACTCTTCATATCAGGATTTATTATATTCTACATGTCTCCCACGAGCCATGTACCCTGCAGTGAGGCTGGCAACAACTGTTCCAGCCAACAGAATCTCTTTTGTCCATGGACATGCAGATTTAGTAGGTGGGAGTAATTCAATGCCCACATTACTAGGTAAGATTCAGTTTTCTGGTCTGCTTTACACATGCAGGATGACTATTTATCTGCTTCATTCTTTAAGTTTCCATCTGAAAGATGGAGGTAATTAAAAAACCCCAAAGCAATTTCTGAGGCACTCAGTGCTGCATTAGGGAGAACCCAAGAACAAAGAAAGAAGTGGTGGCTTGTGGAGGTGGCATGCATATAGTAAATAATCACTATTCTTACAATATTCAGAGGGCAGTACTCTCACACTTACAGACCTCAATGTATTCAGAAAATAACAGGAAGATTTTGTCATCACCAAGTGAACTCTGTGGCATTCTGTCTTCAGCAAGGCAGTCTCTGTACCCTCCTTGCCACGCTGCTGGAGGCTTAGTACAGGTATTTGGAGAAGTGTGCCCTGCCCAGAGTGTACCTTATAGACTGAGTTGGGTCTGTTCTGGACATCTTCTGCTCTATAGGAATCTGTTCCCATTTAAAGTGAAGGCTCCAGTCAAACCCTGAAAAGGAAGAAGACAAGCCAAATTGGTTTCCTTATTGTAAAAACAGTACTACTAGCTTAGTGATAGTCTGCACCTTTATATCACAGGCTACCCCAATGCCTCTCCCCGACCTCCCTCACAGTCTACTCAAAATGGCAATAGCCTGTCCTAATGTGGACCTCACCAGCTTCTGTCTTGGCATCATCACTCCTGAGCATTACAGATCTCTCCTCAATTTCACTCCACACCTTCAGGAGAATATTTTCAGCCTGAGATGTAACTGTATTCTGGACAGTTTGTTTTACCAAAGGCAAACCCTGTCTACCAGAGCTATGAGGCTTTAATAGAGGACATTGTTGGGTGTGATATATTCTGGGAACAAAGGCCTGCAGATCACTGTAACCACCATGTCTTTCAAGACTACCATGTACTTATAGATGGCCCGTGGTGGACAGTGGAGCACAGCACAGTCACCAAATTTAGTCACCATTGTTATGAGCAGCCAAAGAACAGGAAGCCTTTGGCTGGCAAGCAGTGCAGAAGTGAGCCCCAGCCATAAAAGATGTAGAAGGGCACCAGGAAGTGGAGTGATCACAGGAATAGCTGCAGGGGATTCAGCTGTGAGGGGAGAGGTGTAAATGCTTCTCAGAAGATGCCACAAAATAGCCTGGCAGATCAAAGCAGCAACTGGAAGGGCCTGGCAGACTCCAGTGTACATGTAGCATAGTGAGGACATGGTGAGATACTAAATCAATTGACCAAGTCCTGGAACTGCTAAATGCTGTGGCAGTGATTCAAGTTCAAGAGGAAAATACTAGCTGAGTTTTGTTCTAACCCTTCAAAAGATCTGACTTTTCAAGTTGCAGAGAAAAAGGGACAGATAACCTGTCAGGAAAGACCATCACTCTGTGTTCTTGGAAAGCTGAAGAGAACAAGCACAATCCCTCAGGTCTAACTTACATAAGCCATTCATTATACCCACCTCCCCTCAAATCTGCTGATGCTGCCAGGTAGGCAAAATTATCCAGGCTGATAACATCAATGATTGGACTCACCACTCGGGTATAATCCTGAGGGGGAGAAAAAAAAAAAACAAAAACAACAAAACAACGAGTCAAGCTTTCTTGAACGTCCAGCAAAGCTGCCAGAGATCAGGAAACACAAAGCTGCACATGTAAATCTTTGTCTGGTTTCTCCAATATGGCTCTGGTAGCTGTGCAAGAGATCTGTGGGTACTAAATCCAAACATGGAGATGGTGGGTACTGGCCAGATGCACTCCATGATGTGGGGAATGGAGTCAGACTCCAACACCCAGGAATGCTGCTAAGAAACAAATCTTTATTTCCTGCCCAAGTCATAGGGCATCAATCACTGTTCCAAGGGTTTTGTGTTTGCTCTGGATATCTATTGACAGCACACTTCTGCTCAGTCATCCTCGAATTAATTCATTATCATCAGTCTAGAAATTATCAAACCCCTAATAAAGCATTTTCCTTAGAAATATTATGAATCAAGACCCCACATTTAAGATTCATAGTGTAAACTTTATAATACATATGACACATTGTATACATTGTAATATCAAGATATTGTGAGTACTTGATTGCCATTAAGGCATATAGACATTTACAGTTTTCTTTTTCAATCTTTTTAGTAAGTAGAAGTTGAACAATTTTTCATCATGAAACAGGGCATTAAAGACAGTTGTTGTGACAGCTGACATGTAAGATGAAACTGAGCTGGCAATGCCAGAAACAGCACCTTGTTATTGGACAGCTGCCAGCATCCTTTCCTATCAAACCTTCATTTTATGCCCTGCAATAGTTCCTCTTGATCTACCACACTTGGCTAGGATGGGATATCCTTGGTAAGAGGATTCATGGTTTTTTGATGGTTGCCCAGCCAGAGTGTGTCTGCCCAGCTTGAGACTCCAGCACCCACCTGGCAGCCTGGTGTGCCAGCCACTACTCCAACCAATCAGTGCCAGGATTGGCTAGGGCAAGACTGAAATCTGAAATAGGACGGACATCAGAAATGTAGGAAGTTGGTCAGAAATAGGTTGACTTGAAATCTGCTCACTAAAAAATTTGTATACTAGAGTAGCACACAGGCTTTTGCCATTTAGATCCTTCCCTAAAGGAATGAGTGAGGCTCTTTCTGCTTAGGAATCCCTATGCTTGTGTTGCAGCTTGACTTAAAGATTAATAAGCAAAGTAAACATTTATGTGCTTTATTGAACAAGAATAAAAAGCAGAAGCTTTTAATTCATCAATTCTGAAGTTTCACCTTCTTCTGCTCCTTCATATTAAGCTAATCAGACATGCTTACAAAGCATCACTAAAGCCTCCACCCCCTTCTCCCGAGGCCCATTACTTCATGGCATCCTCCTTTCAGAGGGGAACAATCACAGCCACTTGCAAGCAGGGCTTCTCCCATCACTTCTCCCCGGCCTTTTCTTACAGCAGAGCTGTATGATCACTCTCTCCAGCTCTCCAGCTGCTAATATTTCCGCCTCATTTTCCTTCCTCCAGCCTTACATCAATCCTTTGCCAAAGTGAACTATCAAAGGGACATCCCTGCACTCACAGGCAGCTTCTCTGTGACAGGAAGCCGCCTACATGTAGGTGATGCATGGTGGCAGCTCAGTAGGAAGGAAGATTAATGGAAGGGAAATTTTGGCAGTGATAAGGCAGAGGGGAGGGTAGAGCAGCAAGGGAGATGGAAACCATGGAAAAATTGCACAATGTATGCTGCCCAAGGGGCTGTCCTACATACAGGTGAACAAGACAAAGAAGCACAATGCCTGCAGGAGATGAGGTACAAGTTGGTGGTTCCAGCTTTCAGCATTGCATCCCATCACTCTGCACCTCTCCTGCCTTGTCACACTGGCAGGACAGAATCCCATCAGGGATCTCTTGCCCATCTAGCTCAGGCTGTACCTTCCTCTCTAACAGCCTGTCTGAGGAGTACCTTGGCAGGCCTTGCTCACCAGCTCTGCTGACACATGTGAGGGCAGAGGATCCAACACACAGCACAGGCCAGCTCCATCCATCCCAGAGGGGGTCATGGTGCTCACCTCTTTCACTCTCTGAAGCATTGGCTGCAGCCACTCGCTGTTGACTTCACAGTGACTGTCCAGGAAGGTGAGGATGTCAGCAGCTGCCACTTCAGCTCCTCGCACCCGAGAGCGGATCAGCCCTGCGAGCAGCAGAGGAGCAAAGCAGCAGCAAGGTTAGGAAAGGAAACATTGGAGCCTCCTTCAGAAAAAATACTCGGTGTGGCCATTAGAGGGGAAGAGCAGGTGATTCTCCTATATCACACCTCCATCAGGAGCAGAGATCAGCTGTAGAGCAGAGTGTACCCTGGGGACAGTCCCAGCCCTCCCAGCACACAATGAATGACCTCTCCTGTCACTTCTGTTCATGACACACAACTTCCACCTGGCTCCTTGCTCTTCCCTTCCAGCCCTCCCCACAGACACCTGGCTGTTTCCTGCTCACTTACTCTCCCAATTGAGTACCCTGTTGCCACCATCACCAATTCCCCATGGCCAAATTCTACTTTTTACTTTCCTTACTGCTTATCTGCTTTATTCCCATTTGTCCTTTATTCTGCCCTGCAGAGATATCAGCCTGGCTCTCAGATGACTCCTTACTTTCTTACAGACCATCCCACTATGTGGAATGCTCTCTGTGAACTGAACAGTGATTTTTGTCTCTCCTAGATCCGTGCTCCAAACCTGCTGTACACTGACAGCTTTAGAAATAAGCCAGCACATGTGAGTCAAACTAAAGAGCAGCTGGGAAAGTCAGAGTCATTTATTCATGAAGCAGATATGAGAATAAACTTTCCTTAATTGTATCTCTTTATGATAGAAAAACAATCATGTATCTTTCTCCCATGACTCCTACACAGCTTGTTATCCTGTGCTTGAAAGTGCAAGAGTTAGCTTGCGTTTAAAAGGACAAGATTTATATTTGGATCTTTATTCATAAAGATCTTAAAATGTGGTCTTTGTTCCAGCCAAGGCCTCTGGACAGCACTTCTCATTATTTAAATATTACGTGAGACCCCTAAAGCCTGAGAGTTGATAAGCTGTGTTCTCCCTCCACAGAGCTTCCAAATGCTTATACTGAAAAATACAAACTAAGAAACAACATGTAAGCAGCTGGGAGGCAACCAGGGTCATGTGGAAAAACAGACAAAATCTTTGTACATAGAAACTTTCCACACTCACCTTCTCGATGGGTGTTTCGTAGACATTTGACCTTTGGAATCTTGGTAAGGAGATGGCAGTCCTCAGCTTGGGGAAGGCAAAAAAAGACATTTGGCACACACGGATGAATTATTTGGCTTCAACAGAGAGCCCCAATTAACTGTCCTCCTGCTTCTCCATGGGAGGGGAAATTCTGCTTTCACTTAACATCACATTAACCAGCCTGATGGCCTCAGTGCTGTTGCCTGTAGAGTGCACAGAAGAGCACTGCCTGCTTGCTGTCCTCCTCAGGCAGCTGAGCCCACGATTCCCAATCCTCCGAGCAGCCAGGCCTCCATCTCCCCTGCTTGGCATTTCAGAAGAACAATGGGGCAGTGCTGGCAGCGTGGCTCTGGGCACTGATGAAATGGAGGGAACGCAGGACTGCAAATCACCAAAGTGCCAAGGAAAAGAGAGTTCTGTAACATAAAGTGATCTTATCCACTCTCTTGGCCTTCAGTGGCTCATCTGGCCATTTCCTGCCATTTATTCTCAGGGCAGTTACCACTTGATTTCATTTAATAAAGGCACTGGGATGCAACCTGCTTCCTTGGGGACACCACCACATTGACACACAGATGCCTGACCAAGGGCTTTGCTGGCAGCTTGCCAGAAAATCCTGGCATCCCTCGTTTACACTACCTAGGGAAGATGAGGGAGAGGACCTGGTACCTGCTCCAGCCAGATGCCAATGAGCACTGAGTCTTAGTTCTCTGTCAACCTCTCTATTCCTGCCCTAGCAGATATTATAGGAACAGCAATTTCTACATTGTTTGTTTTTCTTGCTCCATCAAATTCACCCCAATTTCCATGTTTATTCCATATTCCTTTTTATGTCTCATGCCCCCTCTTTCCTGCTGTCATCTTCCCACAGACTGACACTCTGGGGAGAAGGCAAAGGCCCTTAGCCAAAGTGCACCTCTTAGCACGTTCCTGTACAAGGATATGTGCAATCTGAAATACTGCTCTTTCATGGGCACTTGGGCAGATGCTGCATCATCCAAGGGAATTACAGAGCACCAAGATTTTGCTGGAACTCTGCTACAAGGGAAGGCAATGCTCTTATCTTGGCCACGTCACAGCTTCAGGTTGGACAATCCCTATTCAGTTGTTCAATCTGCAGGAGTGGAGCACATCACTCTGCCTGTAGCCACTTGCCAGAGATGACAGACTCTCAGTATATTTGGAGAAACTGAGGCAGGTATTAAAGCAAAGTCTAAGGCCTCAAATATGTGCTGAAGCACCTCCATGAGGGTGTCTCAGGGGAGTGGCTATATCCACAAATATCCGGCTGCCAGTGAAAAAATAAGAGCTGTGACAGGATGGAGCCTTTTAAAAATCTTTCTATTTACTGAGGAGCCTAAATGGGAGTTTCTGGTTGAACCCTGTGCAGAACAGGTACCAGAAATCCATCACTGTTGATCTGGAACACTTTGCCCATTAAGAACTCAATTTTCAGGTGCAGAATGTGGAACACTTAGGATTGTTTGTTGGAAGTGCTCAGAAACACCGCAATTCAACCATTGAGCACAGCTCAGTACTTATCCAAAACATGCTGTAAGGCCCTCAGAAACTCAAACCCCTCATTTCAGCATCCACCTTTAAAAATGTTTTTTTGTGGCCAAAGCTACATAACCATTTAGCTGCAAAACTAAAACAGCATTGCTTCCTTACCTCAGCAGGCCAAGGTGGGCGTTCACAGCTATCTGTAAAGTGTTCTGAAGGAGTAATTATCGATTATTATAAGTGGTACATAACTAACTCGTCCTTGAATCTAGAACACATCATAGGAGAAACAAGAAGTCTTCTATCCCCACCACCTCAAAAGTACTACACAACAGCCAGGAGTAAGAGCAACTGTGCAAATGGAAAGATTCCAGAGTCTCCAGTCTGCAGGTCTGGTGGAACTGATGCAGTAGATGCTCCATCCCTGTGTCAAGCTGCAGAAGAAAGTATGGTGCTGTCCAAAGCAGTAACTCTTCCACAGCTTCCCACAGGGACACCTGGGATCCCAGGCACATGGAGGCAGCCAGTCTCACCTCAGCCTGCCTGCAGGACACCAGGCAGCAATTTTCTGTACCCTCCACTGCATCCTTTTCTTGCCTCTTGGTCTGTAAGTACCTGCTGTGCTCATGTACACCATTGCTACATATATATCTGTGCTAAACAGCTCACCAAATGGTGCATAATGAAACCTGACAGAGATCTCTGGCAACCTAGCAAAAACTGCCACATTGACAGAAAGGGAAGACCCAATGGAAAAAAAAAAGAGAGGAAGAGGCTCTGGCTGCTGCCATGCATAGACATTTAACACTTTATTTTCTTTTTCTTCTGAATAAAGACAAGAGGGAATCTGGGAGGGAGGGGGACTTGACAGAGCAAACAAAAAATGGGAAAACAGAAGGTAAGAAATAAGTGTAAAGGAAATAGGTGCAAACTTACGATCTGAGCTGAAGTCATCTACCAAAATGATCTCCTGGATGAGACTGGGAGGGGTGCGGTTCAGAACACTGCAGGGACCCAGGAAAGAAAAAGCCACTTTGTGAGCTGCCATAAAAATGACAATGTTAGGACTGACAGAAATCTGTGCTATGCATTACAGCAGGAATACCAAACTCCAGTAAAGTGGAAGCAGAGACTTGCCCTTGCAATAGAGTTCAGTGGCAAGACCAAACTACAAGTGACAACATCCCAGAGAGCTATGGCATCTCAGCCAGACCTTACAGGGACCCACAGCCAGGAGCTGACTGTGGGACTTGCCTGGGGCAGCTAGCAGCATGCTCTGCCCCTAAACAGAGGTGAAATGGAGAGAACCACCTGCCCCGAGGCAGCCTGATGGCCATTCCCATCTGCCAGCCTCTAAGTAAAAGTCATCACTGCTGGAGAGCATAAAGAGCTGCCACTTTCCCCAGCAAGGACCTCTATCTCAATGCAACAGGTGTGACCTGCTCAGGCTTTCTCACCAATTCCCTTCTTTGGAAGGAAGTATTGTCAATATTCTGGATTTTGATTTTTCCCCTCCTTTGCTTGTTAGCCGTCTGTCTCTCAAACCAGCACCACACTTGCTGAAAGCGCCCCCTTTCCTCAGGTTGGTTGCACTCTACCACGTTGATACCCTCGGGTCTGCAACGAGTCTGCATCTGCAGGACACACATGAGGGAAGCAGAGAAAAGCTTCTGCTCTTCTCAGATATCAAAGCATTCTGGTACTCTGGAGTCTCAGTAGTTCAATTCTCACTTCTTTATCAGTCTCATTCATTAAAATGCTTGAACTCTTTTTCCATGAGCTTATTCAAATCTTTCTCTTGGCTTTACTACCATCACACAGCATATTCCCCCTTTAAGCCTCCTCCAATGCCTCTGTGCACTGGCAGGACCTCATTAACTTCAACAGGGTTGCTCAGTGATGCTTAGGTGGTCCAATGAAGAGGGCAGTTATGCAAATTTTAATACTAAAAACAGAGGCAAACACTGTCCTCCTAGTTCTGGCAACCTGTCTCATTTCAGTAGCACCTGTTCTTTTGAGTAATACTGGAGAAAAATTTCTGGGTTTTTTTCTCTTTTGGATTTTATTGTTGCTGTTGTGGTTGTTTTATATAAGAAACAGACAACAAGAATAGACCAATACTCCCAGGAATGAGGGTGTAGAGAAATAAAAATGCCATCTTGTTAAGTAACATCACTGATGGCTTTGCATACAGAGCCAAAGTTCCCTCAGTTTGGAAGAGTTTTCTGCTTTCTCACACAGCAAAATCCTGACTGTTCTGCTGCTCAGTATCACATCCCACTCTGTTTCAGGTTCACATTGCTTTATACGCCTCTGATAGTATTTGTACTTTGAGCTTACATGTCCCTAGATGACTGAGCTTGCATTTTCCAAAGCTGAATCTCATTTGCTTCTCTTGGCTCATGTCTCTGGATACTCTAGTATGGTGGGGGGGCTGTTCCTGTGCCATTCTAAGTGCAGCTTCTCCCAGCACAACCACCATCTGTGTATTTTACAATTTTACAAGGTTGCCCTGCACTGAAATTCTTGTCTGTACAAACACAATGCAAAACAACAGACAGACTGCAGTATAATGGCTGCAAAATGGTATTCTACACTTTCTTCCACTAGCTTGACTATTGGCAATGCTCACATTCTGTCCCCAAGTTTCAAGTCTTTCACCTCAATGTAACTGGGAAAAAAAGCCCCATTTTGTTCTCTGTTCTTTACCTATCCACTAATTCCCTAGTAGAGAGAACACATCCCTTGAGGAGTTCACAGCTCATTGTACAGTGCCCTGTTCTTCTCTCAGCTCTGCAGTAACTTGCTGTTGATCCTTGGGAAAGGTACTTAATCTTCTTTGCACTTTGTCATCCCTGTCTTTTTAACAAGGAGCACAGTAATCCTAATATTTCCCCTTACTGAGGTGCAGACACTGCCATGACAATAATTTTAGGCACAAAAATGTATTATTAGAATTCCAAAATCCAAGTGATAATTGCCTTTTACAGCAGAAACAGAGAACCCATGAGATGAGGGGGGGAACAGTCCATCTCCTTTACCTTTTCTTACAGCTTCCTTTTTCTTTCAGTATCAGAGTCCTTACTCTCCTGCATGAATGTGACATCACCATTGCCAATGAGTTTCTCTCCTCTGTCCATCCCCCCTGAATTCGCAGATAATCTTGTTTATTCTGGATGTTAGCAGAAGAGTATCTTTTTTTCCCATTGCTCCAAAATACTATCCTTTTTTGCCATTATTTAAATTGTCATTGTAATGAGATGATATACCAAATGCTCTAGCATTACAACAGCATCCTCTTAATCAGTATTTTTTGCAGGCCCTCTGCATAGGCATTGAACCACTGACAGCTGTTCAAATCCATTAACTTAGAGCCTGACAATTCACCTTTACATTTGCACCAAAACCAAAAGGTTCCTGCAATAGTGACTTTCTGAAATCAGAAAGAGAGGAACCAAATAACAAAGCACTTGACTTTCTCTTCTGCAGGAATGGTCACGGCAGCAGGTGATGGTATGGCTTAATGATTAATCATGCATAGACATCAATCACATAAAATGCCTTTTGAGTTTGATTCTGAAAGAGAACAGGATGCCAAGCAAATGATTGATTTGAGAGTGACAGCTATGTCCTAGCACGAAAAGAGATCAAAGCAGGGAAGCAGCTCTTGGCTGACACACATCTCCTGCAGGACTGAGGATGCCAGCAACAAGCCATTTGAACTGGCATGTTGACAGGTTTTGTCTGATAGCCCATTTCCCACTTTCCCCCCTCTATTCCCCTTCTTTAGACTCTTGCTGGATATCTTTAACCAGTTGTCTCCCTCTACACTGAAAACATGGCTGGAGCTCACACTAGCAGGCAGGCATGCAGCCCATGCTGCCTCTGAAGACCAGAAGGGACAAGCAACAGGGTACTTGAGGGAATATACCATTCTCCTCATGGTCACTCCTCTATTTCTCCCTCTCCCCTCCCTCACATACAAACATTGATCCCATCCTCAAGGAGCAACAACAGCACATCATTCCTGTTGCTTCCACCCACAAGCAGAGATCCTAGAGAAAGGAAGGAGAAGTAGGCAACTGCTCAGCTGCCAGAGGTGTTTAAGTCCATGTGTTCACACGTGGATGTGAGGTTAGCAAGAACCTCCTGCCAGAATCTGGCCCCTAAAGCTGCCAGGTTTAGATTACCCTGAAAATAAGCCTGTGATGCAGGAGTATCATCCCTGTGTCACTTCCCAAGATCTCTTGGTACCAGCATTGTCACTTTGTTGAGTTACTTTGCAGTAAGCCAGTATCTGGCTCAGGGGAGCACATTTGGGCTCTCTCTGGGTTTAACATCAGTTCAGCCCCAGGGCCCTTTTCACGTATTCCATTCTACAATTTCCCGAAGTCTTATGGCTGGTTTTTGAGTGCCCAAATTCAAACACTCAAAAGCCACACTTGCAAAGACCTCACATACGAAAATTTCAACTCGTAATACATTTTCTACTCACCTCATAAGATTAGGCCTCCAAAAATGTTTTCAGACACAGAAAATTTTGCTTTTAGTGCTGCTCATTTTCATCAGTTTTCCTCCTTCACACCCATTTCTCTTACAGCATCCCCACAGTGTAATCATGATACCTGAACTTGGGAAAAGGCCCATAATAACAGTGGAATCATACTTAACTTTCACCAAATGCATCTCAAATGATTCATTCTAATTACCCAAATAATCATGCTCTACCTGGTTTAAGAAAGCTCTTGCAGATATAGAAATAATGACAAGCTGCAAGCCTGACTAGTCAGCAGGTAGTGCAATTTTATGCTTCCTGTTGCTTAATATCACTGTGGTCCTCAGCATACTCACAGCCAGGTCATAAACCCAACAGAACAGAACAGCCCTGTCCCTTTGATACTTGACTTATCCTGAAGTGCCAGGGATGCAAAGTAATTACACAGTACTGGTGCACTGACTGCGTATGTGACTTGAGCAACAATTACACTCACAGCAGTAATTCAGCCTAGCACATTCAGATGAGTTTTGCTGAAAGATGGGACTCTCAGGTTACAGAAGAGGCCCTGAAGAGCTCTGTAAAATCCCTCTATAACATCAGTGTAAACCTGTAAGTCAGACTTATGCCTATGCCTCTTCTACCACTGCAGCCATGACGTGAACATTTACCTCTCTGTATGGTTGTCAAACCTCCAGTGCTCAAAGACAAGGCTACTAGCCAATGCTTGATTGTGTGGCACTGCAAATGCTGTAGAGCCCAAGAACTCATCCTTCAGGACATCTTATGAGACAGGGATAAAGTCTTGACACTTCTGATGTGATTTGAGGAAGGAGTAAATCCATCACACATGCTGGCTGCAAACCATCTCGCAATGAAGACCCCAGCTGTAGCCAGAGGTCTGGGAGGAAATTCCATGCACTGCACCATTCACAGCAGAGTGCAGCCAGTTCCTCACAACAGCACTCCTCCAGTGGCAGCAGCATTGCAGGGACCAATGTGAATAGATGAGTCACCCATCTTTCAAGGTCTGTTGTGGGCTCTGGTTGCAGGAGACCACATCTGAGAGACTGGCAATATCACATCTTAAGTGCTGTGTCCAGTTCTGGGCTTTCCAGGACAAGAAAAAAGGAGGACATACTACCATGGTTTCTCAGCACCTATTTACTATATGACCTATGACTGAAAAGGCAGAAATCTCCCCCAGCTGCCCTAGCAGCACCAAGATTCCAAACAAATCTGCCCATTTTCTGGACAGTGACTCTGTAGAGCTCATTGTACGGTTCAAACGAAAAGAAAATTATAGAAATAAAAAGACAAAGCATGTCAGTGCAATATAAACAAGTCTCTGGAAACACAATAGCATCAAACTTGGTAGCAGAAACCTAGCCTTCTAGACATGAGGCCAACTTGAAAAAGC